TGTGTGTGTGTGTGTGTGTGTGTGTGTGTGTGTGTGTGTGTGTGTGTGTGTGTGTGTGTGTGTGTTTTAGACAACCTGCTCACCCTGAACTTGACAAAAGTTCTGCTGACTTCCTGATTCTTCTCTCGCCCTCCTTCAAAACCAACAATCCTGACGGAAGCTCCGCCGTTCATAAAGCTGCTGCTCCTCCCTCTGCTCCACATACTTCGGAGGAAGAAGGAGGAGGAAGAAGGAGGAGGAGGAGGAAGAAGGAGGAGGAAGAAGAAGCATGTGAGCCTTACTGTTTATCACATCATCAGCTCTTGTTCTACCAGCTTTCACAACAGACACAGTTATACTTTCTTTAGTGGATTAAAAACACCAGGTCGGTTTTAACCACCTRAAACTTTTCTGCATCAGTTCTGTAACAGACTGTGTGTTGAATGAGGTTGTTTAACAGCATTATTTAAACCGACTGAGCTTCATCGAAGGCCGGTGGAGAAAAGGCTTTCTGACCAACAACCACTCATCATGAAGATTTGTTTGACCACTGATCATTAAAAAATAGGTGAATCATTAACTTAAAATATTAAATGTTAGATTTACTTATTTACTGTAAAAATACAAAGAGAAAAAGCTTCATGGGTGGTTCAGAAACTGCTAAGAATCAACTCAGTTTGTTAAATAGAAAAATAGGATTGTCATCTTCAGGACATTTGAGCAAATGAATTTTAAATAAACAGTTAACTTGAATTTAATTCGTATTTGATTACTTTAATTCAGTAAAGAAGCTGATTTTGATAGTTAAGCATTATATTAAAGCTTTAGTTTAAAATGTTTCACATTAGTTCCAAATTTCATAGAGTGTATTCATGTCTGGATGAAAAATCTGACTATTGGCCATCCCTCCATATCACAAGACGTCTTTTCCCCCCTAATTTAATGTTATAAAAAGCATCACAAAGTGTAAAAAAAACTATTGATGATTAAAAAACAACAAAGAAACAGACAAAACCACAACATTGGCTCCATGTATTGTTTTAAAATGCATTTTTTTTATTTTTTAATAATAAAATTTTCTCATTTTAATATTATTTTAGACCTGTGTATTTTTATACAAAAAATACACACTTTTGTGCATAAAACTCTACACTAAAATAAATTGTAAGTGGAAGGCTTGCTGAAAAACCTATGAAAAAGTCTCAATTTACATTTATTTATATCCACACCCACATCTTCAATACCTCACGCACAAGTTCACTGCACAAAATGAAACAAATCCACAAAAGATTTCAAATGAATTCTGTTTATTAAAAATAAAACATTACAATAATACGACCAGTCTGACTTGTTCCAAGAAGTTTTGGTTTTGTCAAGTGCAACCTACTGTATTCTATTCTATTCTATTCTATTCTATTCTATTCTATTCTATTCTATTCTATTCTATTCTACAGCAGAAGTGGATGTGAGTACACACATACTCCCCAGAGAATACTTTATGTTTAAGAGCAGGAATGCAGGACAGAGGCTTGTTTTTCTGTCAAGTTCATGTTCATCAGATTTCCAGGCCTCACGCACACACACACACACACACACACACACACACACACACACAGGTCCCCCCTCACCCACTGTTTTTACCACCGTCTTCACCCACCCGCCCCACTCTGTCTGCATCGCAGACTGTCTTTTTGTTTCCCAGGTTAGACTTTGCAATTGAACTTGAGACAGACAGACAGACAGACAGCTCGTAAACAGTTTGTAGTCTGGATCTTGTCTGCTCTGGGGGAGGTGCAAAGAGCTGAGGAATGGACACTGAGCAATCTGTTTTTCATACAAACACGTACACAGGAATTRAGAGCTTCTTCTTATTAAAGTTAATATAATTTGAACTAAAATAATATGAATGCAAGGTCATTTGATTTGGCACCGATCCTCTCTGTAAAAGCAAAAAGAAGCTTCATTCGTTGATGGTACACAAAGAAACCCACTAATGTTTTGACCACAGAAAACTTTGCTTATTTRACACTTTTATACACTTTTCTGAAATACAAAATGAAACAAAACACTGGAACCATAATTTTTTCCTTACTTTATGTGTGTTTGTATTCAACAGTTGTGGCCAAATTTTTTGAAATTGACACAAAATGTAACTGTCAGAAAATCATTTGGAAAAAAGTTTTATATGATGGGAATTAGCATAAAATATATACTCAGGTGGGCTATTTCATACAAACATCTGACTCAAAGGTCTAACAACACAGTGGCACCAAAGTTAATCAATGTGTCATTTTCAACAGTTTTGGCCACAGCAACTGTATAGGTTTAACCCAAGCTACAGACTCATGAACCTGTTGGTTCAAATGGTTTCAGTTCAAATTACAGGAGTGTGTGTCTGTGCGTGTGAGCGGGGGTGACCTTCCCCAAATAAAAACTGAAACCCTCGCAAAACACTTGAAAACAAGAGCTTGCAGAATGTGGGGGTGGTGTGTCACAAATTAAACCTGTTAGACCCTTCGAAGTGGACCATCAGTTCATCACCTTACTTGAACTGTACAATCATCTATATAACATCACCATCATCAGTACTATCATTAATTTCATCATCAATATGAACTGTCAGGCAGGCTGTCAGGCCTAAAACTCTTTACAAAGAATACACAACTAAAGTTAAATACTGCTCTTGAACCCCGAGGAGCGTGCTACACATTTTAGGCTCTGGAGAMCCTATAGATGAACCCAGTTTTTGAGAGATGAGTCGATTGAAAGAAGACAACCAATCAAATCATTTTGAATTGCCTACTATGAAAATTTCCCCTGGCAGCTTGGTCATGTACCACGGGCGTTAGAGTTTTTGAAGCAACATTATCCTATTTCTGTCTGATTTTAGCTAGTGGAGTTCTGATACCAGCAATTTTACAAGTATTTTTCCTTGTTTTGTTTATTTTACCATTGTTTAACAATTGATATTGCAGATCTCTTTTTCAAAGGATGTCTGGACCTGAAGGCAAAAAAAAAAAGGGGGGGGGGGATAACCAGCACTCCAAAAAACACCAACATGTTTTAATAAGGAGAACATGCCGTCATCAGCTTGTTACAGATCAGACAAAAAATGAGTCAAAAGAGGATAAAGAACACATAAGCATATCAGAAAAAGGTTGGTCAATCAGCTCAAAAGAGCAACATCTGTAACAAACAAGAACATCTAACAAACTACAATATATGAATACATGAAATCACAGAATGCAGTTCAACACCAACTCTTCATTAAGTCATCTGGGTTAACTGTAAAGACACACCTGAAGGCAACCTATTGGACATGTTTTTGGGGTGAGGGAAACCACAGTAGCCAGAGAAAACCCACACAAGCAAAAGGAGAACATGCAAACTCTGCACAGAAAGACCCCAGGTCTGAACTAGYTATTGTACCCTGGACCTTCTTGACATGAGGCATCAGTGCTAACCACTGAGCCACTTTGCTGCCAAAACTGTACAAAATGCCTCAATACCTGGAACTGATACTACTAATATTTGTTATTTTGAATTATAATGTTGAACAATGTATATCATGCTGGATGAACTGAGTTTCCTTTGTTGAACTTTAGAGGGATTGAAAAGGGAAAAGTCTATTATTGTAGATTTTTTTCAAATCATGTACAAGTACTTTAGTTTGGGTGCTCATCAATACTGAGAACTTACTAGAAGTTAAACACTACATGATGATTACAAAAACATTTTTTATTTATGTTATATATTTGTTCATGTATATTTTATGTTTAATGAGAACGAGTGTTTTTAGAAATGCTGGGATATGGTGCAATTTCAATCCTGATACTGGTATCAGGATCGGGACACTGCTAGTTTACATTTCTCCTCACCCACATATGTCACCCCCAAGTCTGAAACTTGGAACTTCAAGTTCTTTCAAAGCTTTTTAATAACCATGTTGCAGTTTTATGTTAAATGTAAACAATAGAACATGTACTTTTTTGTGACTCTGTATTAAACTCAAATTGTGATGAAACATACATTTTAAAATTGCAACTCTATATTGCACAAAATAGCCTTCCTTTAAACTATAATTTTACATTTTTAATTGAGTTGCTGTGCTGCATCTCACACACACACACACACACACAAATGGATTGAAAAAAAGGGGGGGGGGGCAATCTGCCTTTGTTAATACAGAATGAATGAGTGAAATTAATTTATGGTTCCCACTTTATAAATAATGTGTATTAAACTTTAGATTTTTGGTAAAATATCAAGTCTTTTCAAGTAAATGTTCAAGTCCAATTCA